TTTATTTTATTTATTATTATTATTGTTATTGTTATTTTGGTCTTTCTGAGACAGGGTGTTGCTAGACTGTCCTTAGGCTCACTTTGTAGTCCAGGATGATCTTGAACTTGCAAATGATTCTCCTGCCTCAGTTTCTGAGTGCTGGGATTACAAGAGTGCACCACCATCCCAGATTTTGGTTCCTTTTTTATAAGTTTGTGATACATGTTTTTTTTTTTTTTTAAATCTTGGGGAATTAGAGCATATACATATTGTATCTTAAACATCTTTTTTTCTTCCTTTTTGGTTTTGTTTTTTGAGGTAGTGTTTTGTTGGATCTTGCTATCCAGTTCAAGCTGACCTTAAAGCTCACAGTATAATGTACACCAGGCTGACTCTGAACTCATGCTGACCCTCTTGCCTCAGCCTCCTGAGAGCTGCACTGTCATGCTTGGTGTCTTTTTATTTCTGCTTTTCCTCCTGCCTCCCTCATCTCCAGACACACTCCCTTAGGCACAAATTCTACCTCCCTGATTCCTATCATTGTCTTTTATTTTGTTCTTTCAATTATGCATATTCTGAGTTTCTCAAATAAGAAAAGTTATGCAATATTTACCCTATATCTGATTTATTTCACTTACCATTGTGACTTTAAGGTACATCTATTTTCCTACAAATAAATCAATTTATCTTCTGTGTGGTATATATTTATGTAATCATTCACACTTTATGTAGTCATTCATCTGCTAGTAGGCCTGTAGATCACTTCCAATATTTAGGTATTATGAGTTGTATTGCTATAATCATAAACATGGGTATGCACATATGTAATTGTAATATGATATCTTTAATGTTTCAGGAAGATACCCAGAAGATATTTGGAAGAAAGATACCCAGAATAATTGAGTCAAATGGAATTTCTAGTTTCAGTGTATTGAGAAATCCACACTAATTTCTATGGTGGTTGGGTAAGTTTACATTCTCACCAAAATGTAGAAGGATTCCTTCCCCCTAGAACCTTCCCAATATTTCTTCTTTTTTTGAGTCCTTGATGATAGCCATAGTTTCTAGAGTAAGAGGGAATCTCAGTGTTGTTCTGATTTGCATATCTCTAACGGCCAGAGATGCTGGACACATTTTCACATATTTGATGGCCATTTGTATTTCTTCTTTTGGAAAGTATCTATTAATTTCAATTTCCATTTTTGGTTGGGTCTTTTATTTGAGGAGAGTCTAGCAATTTGAGTTCTTGACTTACTGTATTCTAGATGTTAGTCTTGGCCAGAGGAGTAGCTGGCAACTTTTCCCCCCTATTCTGCAGCTGATCTCTTCACTCTGAAGGTTGTTACTGTGAAGATGCTTTTAATTTGCTATAATCCCATTTGTTGATTCTTACTGTTATTTCTTTCTATAATTGGAATCCCAGGATGCAAAATCAATACACAAAATTCAATATTGTTTCTGTACTCCAATAATGAATGTGCCAGGAAAGAAATCAGGAAAATAATCCCATTCATGATAGCTTCAAAAAAATTTAAATATCTAAGAATTACCCTAATCAAGGAAAGGAAAAGTCTGTAGGAAGAAAGTTGTCATACTCTGAGCAAAGAGATTAAAGAGTTCATTAGAAAAAGCAAAGACATGCCTGTTCCTGGATAGGCAGAATTAGTGTTGTCAAAATGGCCATATGATCAAAGGGTATACTGATTTAATGCAGTTCCTTTCAAAATACTAATAGCATTCTAAAACTAGACCTAGAAATTAGGGGAAAAAAGCTTTTCTAAAATTTATGTAGACCCCAAAGAGATCCAGAATAGTCAAAGAAATCCTGAGCAATAAGAGAAAAGCAGAAGACCTATAATCCTGGATTTCAATTTATATTACAAAACTAAAGTGATTTAAAAAAAATTTAAAACAAACAAAAACTTAGCATGGTACTGCACAAAAACACATATGTGGACCAACAGAACAGGATTCAGGATTCAGAAACAATCCCAGGCACATTAAGCCATATGATCTTTCACAAAGGGGCCGAAAACATACACTAGAGAGGAAATGTTTAAGAAACAGTGCTGGGAACACCAATTATCTAGATGTGGAAGAATGACTTTAGACCCTTAGCTGTTACCCTATGCTAAGTCCAAATAAAAATGAATCAAAGACCTAGATGTTGAAATAGAAACATTGAATCTGCTAGAAGATAAAATAGGTAAAACTCTTGAAAATACTGGCATAGGCAAGGCCTTTTTGAACAAATCTTATTTCTACCAAGAGATACTAGGTGTTGTGGATGTGTATCGCCTTTTTTTTTCCTCCTACAGAATATTACAATAAACTTCAATGTCCTGGGGCCAACTCGTACAATTTTTAAGAATTATTTTATATAATTTTTAAAAAAAATTTTAACTGACACACAAAAGCATAAAAATTATACATATTAATTGGATAACTTGTAATGTTTGATATACCTATAAAATGTGCAAATGTTTAAATCAGATTAAATATATTTCTCTCCTTAAATATTTGTCAATTGTTGGTAATGAAAACTTTTGACATCATAATGCTTGAAGGGTGCAGTGTGTGATTGTTACCTGTAGTGCCTGTGGATCAAACTTCTTCCTTTTTTCTACCTCTCTTATTCTTCCCATTCCATAATAACAGCCATTCTCTACTTAACTTCTCTGAAATCAACTTTTTGAGATTTCAAATGAGTGAGATCATGTGTTACTTGTCTTTCCTGCCTGGCTTATTTCACTTAACACAGTGATCTCGTTTTACCCATATTGTACAAATAATAGAATTTCATTCTCTTCTGTGGTTAAATATGGCATATGTATCACAATGTCTTCATCAGTGCAGTTCTTAATTACATGTATTGCATTAGTTGATATGTAGAACCAGACTAAGGAGAGGCATCACAAATTCTGGGTTCTAAAATTCTAGGGAAAGATTTGCACTTAACATCTTAGCCATCTAGGTGTGACTTCTCCTCAGGAAAAAAATCAAGGAGGACAAAAGAGCAAAAGGAGAGAAAGAAATGCAAGGAAAACTCAAAAACAACTTCCCTGCAGCAAAATGAAGTTTTGGACCAGAAGAATAATATGTGCACAAAGTTGAGTAAGAAAACTGGAAGCTCTTTAGGGAATATTTGTTTAGCTTTTCCAGGACATAGGATAATCTAGAAAGTACTGGGAAATGAAGTTTGGCTAAGTGCATTTTCTTCTGTTTTAACTTCAGTACTCAGTGTGCACTAGAAAGCCAGTGAAATTTTTCCATGGGGAAGGAATCCAATCAGGCTTGAACTTTAGAAGTAAGAATCAGGAAATAGTGTCTGCTTAATAGATGAGAAGTGGAAGAACTGGAGATAGCTAGGGTCAGTAAACTCTGGATTTTGAAAAACTAATTGGGCAAGCGCTTTTCTGCACAGCTTGTAAAAGAATTTAAGGCTTATTTATTTACTTACACTTGCTAACATTTAACACTCTAAAAATATTTCCCAGCTATGACGATGACAGCTACGATGATACTGCTCCAACTCTCAGTAATACCAAGTGAGGGGTTCTTTTACAATCAGTATTCAGTAAACACCTTTTCTTACCTGTGAGACCAGACACCAGCTATGGGGCGAGGAGACATGTGTGCTCTTCTTTCGATGATGTCCTTCAGATAATATGTAGGCTTCTCAATTTAAACAATTTGCTTATACTTGTCTTTTAGTTAAGAAATAATTATGACTTTGTGAGAAAATGTATAGACTCTGATTCTCACAAAGCAGCTGTAGCTGTGATAACATCCTGGTGATTTCCAGGCTGTAAACATGTGGTAGATGATTATAAGGCAGGGATTGGGATCCAGGCTGAACTGGTAGCCTTAGGCTATGGCTGCCTTAACTTAGAGGCAAAAATAGCAAGGGCCAGTAGAATAGTGCTGCAGGCAGGGTCCAAACTAAACTAAAAATAGGCCTCTAATTTGTCAAGTGAAGTGAATATTACCCTTATTCCCTTCTGAGCAGTGAGTAACATAATCAGAAAATCATATGTGAAAGGGCCTCCTGATTTTACTGTGTGCTGTTTTATGAATAACAATAAGAAGAAAAATCATGATTATTGTTGGGCTAGCGTGAAAAACAAGCCATTCTTTGAAAAAAACTATGGTAAAATATACATGACATAAGTTCTATCATATTACTGTTTTGAAGTATACATTAGATTTTTCTTAGCCAGAGTAACCTAAAAAGTATCATATAATTTTCCTAAATGAAATATTCAATCTAAAATTTAGGTGAAAGTGTTCACATTAGATTTACAATATGTTTCTCAACTTGTTTTTTCTCTTGTGCCTTGTTTTAACTCCATTGCTCCTGATCTCTTATTAAAGATATCTTTTCCCTAACTACTACCTTGAAATTATAATACTTCTGATATCATATGTTGTAGTATTGAGTGAATGTCTCTGTGCAAGATTTTTCCTTGCAGTTTTCATTTCCTTGGAAGTAGTATTACTTCTACTTAGAATGCATGCTCTGTGCGCACACACAATTCCAGAATGAACATAGCAATTACTCTGGATTGACAGAATATCACTATTCTTTTAGAAATGTGACAGAAAAACTGAATTCACTCTGGGAGTGATAATCTCTATAATATCCTGAGAGAGTGAATATGCACACAAACAATTGCCAGACTTATCTCACAATTAGATGCTGATTGACAACTTGTATAGCAGTCTGCCCAGAATAGTCAGGAATTGTTCAATTACTGCCGGCATCCCTATTTTTAACCCTTGATTCCAAACCAAGACCTATCAGAAAGTTTCATATGCTCCCCACATCAGTCTTGCAAGATGTCCTGTTTTTAGTTAATCCACCTCTTGCTTCCTCACAGCTACAGTCTCTGGTCAGAGCATAGGTGAAGCCTTCCTTGACTTCAGGATAAAGCTTGCCCACTCTCCTGTCTGCCTTTGAGCTTCTGCCAAATGCGAAGATGGCTGACTCCCTTGCTCCACTAAACTTCAAAGTAATGTTTTATTTTCACTTGCATAATATTCATTTACTTCAACTTTGAAGAATAAGTATGCAGCTACAGAAGACAATATATATTGATAACAATTGTCTCATTTCTCTACTGCAATATTCCAGCAGAAAGAATGGCTCATTCATGAGTCTTTATTTCCTTCAACCACACCAAAACTGTGATACATAAACATGTATGTCATCCCTTTTTAGCTATACTTTCTTAATTATTTTGGTGATATAGCTCTAGTATTTAATTATAGTAGTAAATATATTCAAAGATGCTTAGAAATGCGGGCCATCACCAAAAGACTTAGGCAAGGATGTTCAAAAGAATTCCTTTATAAAAAGACCCTGTTTCTGAGTTCGTTAACTTCCTGTTCGTTAACTTCACTTGATGGGTCCTAGTAAAATGCTTAAATGGGTACTTTTTGAAAATTTCATTAAAAATGTTCATCTCTATTAAAAAATCTGTAAATTTAAAACTCATGTTTACTGGAATACAAGCACTGATTTACTGTATGTCAGCTAAAAATATCAAGAGAAGTTAAAGAATGACTCATACTAATTAAAAAGCTACTATTCTAGGCTTTGTACTGAAAATACCTAGGGGAATAAACAATCATAAAATTTATAAACAAGTTTATGAGATTTGTTGGCACAACCCAAAGCCAAATCTAATGGATAATCATGCTTTACTGGTTTTCTTCAAAGCATTTAGGGGGAATGCTGAGGAGGGGAATTAGAATCCCACGAGGTTGCAGTAACCTATTGGGCAGTGGATATTATATTAGAGTTTAGATGTCTTCCTGTTTCCCTGTCAGGAGCATCCTTCTTGTACCCTTCCCAGGTCTTATCTCTTTATCAAGTATCCATGCCAAGTATCCTCTTGCATAACATTTCCTTTAAACCAGTCCTTTCAAGCAAAGAGCCAACCTCTTCCTTCCTTTCTCCATTATCAGACTTATCCTGATACACAAATTTGAGAGGCGATTTATAGGATTGATGTATGCACTTTATCAGGATATATCAAGACATTTTTCAGAACTTTTGAGGCCAGGAAGCCCTTCTCGACTCTTCAAAGTTGCGGCAAATATATCCTTCACATATTTCCTTCTCTACCTCATATATATTTTATTAAAGTGATCTGCAGCCTTCCCAACTCTTATCTTATTCTGAGTATAGCAATGGCATATTAAAAAGTTGTATATTTTAGGAACTGTATCAGTACTGGCTTGGGGTACACTCAGCCAGAGACAGCTGCCGCTTCCAATGAATCACCCAGTCACGTGAAAGGGATAGAGGAAAGGAGAGTGAAGACTTTACAGTCAGACAAGCCTGGCTCTGCCATCGAGCTATTACAAACTGTGTCTCTTTTTATTGCAACCTGCTTCCCAGAGTTGTGGAGATTTAATGCTATGATAACTGACTCATCTCGGCTATTCCCAAGCCTTTAAATGTATCTATCTCCATGCTGGTGATTTCTCTATGTAATTCTTCAGTTGGAAACTGTCTTATGGATTCTGACCCTCTTTGAGGTCTCCACCTGAACGACTTAGAGGCCTATCAAAAACAATTTAGCCAGAGCAACACTATTAACACTCTTTACCACCAAGTTTGATCCTTCCCCATCAAATTTCCCTTAGTGAAAAGAACCACCTGCCACATTGGTGAAGCCAAACTGATTTCGTTGATATCTTTCTTTGTCCATGTCACTCTCTGCTCTCTCCAGCCCTTCCTCTTCTCCAGTCCAGCTCATTTTCCAGCCAGGAATGGTTCTCTTTGTTTTTCATTTGGTTTAGTCTACATTTAGGACTCAAGCACAACATCCTGTAAGAACTGTTGCCTGCCATTAGAAGAAGGTAGTTGGCCTTCATATTCCCAGAGAACCTCCTGCTTCATTTTTGGTTTTTGTTTGTTTAACAAAACACTAATTCTGTAATGGAATAGTGTAATATATTAATAACTAAAATTTGTGAACCAAATGCTATGTGATGAATTATACTTTCTACGTACCTCTTGATCTGCTCTATTCTATTTAATCTTCATAATCACCTTAGGAAGTAGGTACCATTGTCATCCCTATTTTGCAAATAAAGAAACTGAAGACAGAAAAGTCAGTATTCTCCCCAGATTTTTACAGCCAGCAACTGAACCCTAGAGATCTGACTCTAGAGCTCATATAATTATCTAATATTTCCTTTCTTGCTCAAAAATCTCCAAGGATTTTTCCTGTATTATTCATTGTTGTACTTGTGGTACTAGAATAATGCCTATTGTGTAACAGCTGCTATGTGTTTACAGGTTCACCTAAAGAGTAAATAGTGACTAATTTGCATCTCTCTTTCCTTAAGGACAGAAACTAGGTTTTATTCACTTTGTTTGTAGCAGCTACCCTAGTACCTGGCAAATAATAAAATTCTTAAGCTCATTTCTCTCTGTAGGCTCATGAGATAGTTTCTATTTTGCCTTTGTGCTCTTATAGGTTAGATCTTGTATTCACCCTCCTATGCCATACTTTGCTGTTTGTCAAGTTTTCAGTGTACAGAAAAAAAAAAAAATCTGGTCAGCTGCTGCTTGACAGCTGGAAAAACAGAGCTGTTCTGGAGCCAAACAATTTGTACCTCAAGAAAATCAAGGAGGAGACCTCTATCCTCCTGGGGGTGTGTGGGTGGAGGGCTGAATCATCAAGTTCTTTGAGTTCCTTGGAAAAAGATAACTCAAAGGAGTGTTAAACAACACGAAGAAATAGGAGAAGAATAAGCAGAAACATAAAAATGATTAAAGTGTTGAAAAACACGACCCACAGGCTAAAAATAATTACTGTAGAGTTTAGAGAGAAAACGTGGATCAGCTTTCCAGCGCTCCGATGGGCTCTGCGTCAATGGCTTCAGTCTGAAGGATGGTGGACAGATGTTCATGGGCCCCAGCAAGGAGTGCGCAGCAGGCCAAGACGCCTTGGAGGGCTGAAACTGAGGAAAGAGGACTTGGGCTTCAGCAAAACATTGTCAAAGAGAATCTTCAGCTCCCTGTGACCTAGGCAGCCGAAAGGAAGTGCACAATCATGATAGTTTCTGGGTGTAGGGGCTTTGTCTGTTTTGTTTTTCTAAAGGAACACTTAACATTTCCAGTAGATTTTAAAAATATGTTGTAATCTTTTTCTAGAAAGTTTGAAAACTTCGAGTGAGGGTTTGTGTGCCAGAATATTTTGTCATGCAAAGAGATAAACAAAGGAAAAATTCTCACGTTCCAATCTCTGGTTTGTCTGGTCATTCACATTTGAGAGACTCGTTGGTATTTCAAGATGGGCCACGGCCTTGAGGTCCCTACTGCTCTGTGACTTTACCAATTTGATTATGCAGGCTGACCTTCGTCTTTTTGAGCAGCACTACGCGAACAATATTATAAAAACCAAAGAAGCAGAAAATGTGTAAATAAAACACTGAACTCTCAGTCATCTGCTAGACTCAGTAGGAGTGGAGTTGTTCATTTTTGTTATTATCCTTATTGCTATTTATGGAGCCTAAGCTAGGCTCAAACTCTCTGTATAGCCCAGGCTGATCTCAAATTCATGATCCTCCCACCTCAGCCTCTTGAACGCTGACTATATTATTTTTCATTAGCATCATTTCCTTAATTTCTTAAGTTTTGTTTTATAACAAGAAAATTTAAGATAGAGCCTAAAGTCAGAAGAGTTTTTGACCAGAATTAAGTTTAATAAGGTGATTCCCCAGATGGGCTCACTTGCTGAAAGGGGACTCTAAAAAGTATTTATTCAGCAGTTTGATATACAGCTAGTATATTAGGGAGAGGTGCTGTGTACATACGTGTATTGTGACAATGGATGCCCCTAGGGAGGAGGAGAATTACATAAGATATATGGGTGCTAATACTTTCACTATGGTTTGTTTATCTTTTCTGCCCAGGAAGAGTCTACTCCCTTTATGGGCAAGGCCCATCTCCTCTAATATATCCTTGTAAACTTTCTTTGTCTTCCTCAAGGATTTCAAGAAGTTAAAACGTATATATGGATAGAGCAAATCTAGAAATTCAAGCTTCTTGTGTTGCTAAACATTTATAGTGTTTCATACCAATTTTATTCATGGAAGGTAAACTTGACAAGAGGTTTTACCAGTGATTTTTTGTAACACTTGGTATGCTAGCTATTGTGTAAAATATGGCAAGCTTTTGCCTCTTGGGATCTCCAAGCTCAGCAGTCTAACTTGGTTCCTGTGTCAGAAACTTAAAGATCCCATGTGCATACAACCCTGCTCTGAGGTCTTGAAGGTCCCTCCAGACCTCCAGCTACTTAAGAAAGGAGTAACTAAGACAGTGTCACTTTTGAGGTAAGTGAAATAAAATCATCTAGATGAATCAGTTTTTCAGATAAAAGTCCATAGATCTTCCTCTTGTCTCATAAAGTTTATTTTATTTTCCCTATATGCAAATATATTTCTGGTTGACAATTTTAAGCAGTTTTCTTCTCTTTATTATTTTGAAGGTCATTGATTGATAAATAGGCCATTTATATTTAGCTATTGTTTTCTGAAAGTTTACTTAGTTTAAAATAAACTGTATTTGAAAGCTTATTCAATGAACGTTTGTTCACAAAAACTTTCAAATAATGTTTATTTAAACCTTTAAATTACCCAAATTGTTTTACAATTTGTACTATAAAACAATTGAGTCTTTATTATTTTAGTAAAAATTATAAACTTTACTCAAATCTACAGAATTGTATTTCTGGATCTATCATCATCCCAGCTATCGCAATATGAAATTAAACCCTTGTGGGTTGCAGAATAACTATTAACTAGTGTTTAATGGCATATATAAAAGATAGATATTACATGGTTTAGGCATCTCACTAGTGATTGGGTGCTGATAATGAGAAAGGGTAAGAAAAAAATCTGCATGTAAAAATAATATCTAGACCACATGAAATTTCCAATCCTTTGTTACTTTTGATCTACCAAAATGAAAAGTTAATATGCTACAACCAATATGTCTCAGGTATACTCATAATACACTCTATACTACATCAAATCTAAATTTAACATTGGAATTGTGGCACAGTGCATTTAAAAAGACTAGTTCAAAAACTGTGTTAATGCAGCCATAAAATACTATGATAAGCCAGGGACTGATAAAAGAAGACACAACCATATTATCTTGTATTTAGTAATCAAATATAGCTTTATAATTATAAGATATATTAGTTTGCCATAAAGCATGAAGTCAGTAACATTTTATGAAACAATTCTTTATTGTGTTGTCAGGGGTAAATTGTGTTGAGGAGGTTTAGGAAATCTTCCTTTAAGACTGTAATTCTCTTAGTTTGTGTTATGGTTTGATAACTAGTGGTCAACTTAACGCCAGCTGGATTACATCAGCATGTATTGAGAGAAGATGCTCCACCTGAGAAGGGTTGCCAGGATAAATAGGTGGAGAAGAAGAGAGGTGAGGAGAGGGATTGAGGCGTTATGGAGGCATTGTTGGTTCTCCTATGAGTTGCTGTTTGAGCTGTTGGTTCTCCTGGAGAAGCTTTGGTCTTCACATCGAGCATTGCTTCCTGGCTCCAGAGCAGAAGACATGTGCTGCTTGGTCTCCAGGATGAACTCGTCACGCTGCTTCCTGCATGTTCCCGACTGTGCTTGTCGTCGGAGGAGCTCGGGGCCTCTGTGTCGCTGAGGACAGCTGTGGTTCCTTTCAGGACAGCCCCGCTCTTTGTTGTGAGTGTGACTTCTCAGCTCCAGTGTAGAACCCTCATCCCACTAGCACAGCTCCTTCATCCTGCTGGCATGGACTTTCTGGCTTCCACCGCTGACCTTTGGGTCTTCCCGGCATGAATCCGTAAAAGAGACTGGCGTGAGTCCTTCTTGTGGGCCCTGGACTTCTAGTGGGACTCGTGGAGGCATTGTCCTGAGCTCTGGGTTTTTATCTGGACTCATGTGGGACATTGCCATGGGGTTTAGACTCTTGACTAAATAATCTATGTCGTTGGTGTTGCAGATGGATTTCCTGCATTCTCCTGTGTTAACTTCCGGTGACCATTATAAAAATACTATAAACTCCATGTCCTGATCTGAATTGTTCTCTGTGTACAACCCCAGACTACAACAGTTTGTGTTGCTATAATACTACCATGGATCTGGTGGCTTATTAGACACAAGAATTCATTTTTCAGAGCTTTGGAGTCTAGAAGGCTAAAATTAGGGTGGCAGATCAGGTATTCTTCAGAATTGCAGATTGCAAATTTCTCACTGTGAGGCAGAAAGAGAAACATGTCAGCACTTTGTGTGTGTGTGTGTGTGTGTGTGTGGTGGAGAGTGGAGACTGAACCCAGAGCCTTAGGTTTGCTAGGCAAGCACTCTCCCACGGTACACCCCTAACCCTTTTTAACTTACTTCAGGACAGCATCCTGCTAAGTTACCTTTGAGCTCCCAGTTCCACTCATCTGTCAAGTAGTACACACTATCATGCCCAGCTTCTTATCTCTCCTTTAGGGTTTACTACTCTCTTTTATGAAGGTTCCATCTTCACAACATAATGATCTCCTAAAGTTCCCACCTCCCAAGTCCCTTCAAATTAGAATGAAGGTTTCAACATAGGAATTTTGAGGCACATAAGTATTTAGTTCATTGGAATATTTTAACCAAAAATGTTTTAAATTTTTAAAATACCCTGTGAATGAATAAAAGCAAACAAATCAGGAATGATGGCACACACCTGTAATCCCAGAACTCTGAGAAGTAGAGAAGAATGGCTGAAAGTGTGAGCTAAGCCTAGGAAACTTAATGGGGGACTGAGCATGACCCCATCTCAGAATTTAAAAAGGCCTAGTACATGAATAGGCAGGGTCAATAAGAAGACCCTAGATTCAGTCTCTGGTATTGCCAAAAAAATCAGTATGTAAATTTAATGAAACGCAATTAGTAGAAATTTTAACTGTTATAATGATAATTATAAGATGAGCATGGTGGTGCATGGCTGAGTAAAGAGGATCACTGAGTTTGAGGAAAGCTTTGGTTGTAAAGTGACTTCAAGTTCAGCCTGAACTACACAGTAAGACCCTGTATTATAGACAGACAGACAGACAGGCCGGCAGACAGGCAGACAGGCAGACAGAAAGATGGGATTGGGGCTGGGGGGTTGATTCTAAAGAATATGTGAAAAAAATTTTCAAGTTGAAAAAGTTATGGTTAATACTCAAAAGTAATCCCCTATCCTATGTACTGAATTGGATCCCAATTCAGTAATAATTCTCAACTCTAAATTATTTTCAAAAAGCCAAAAATCATCTTCAGTTTGTATGCATCCAGCAATCTTAATAAAGGAACTAATTAGTATACAGCATAGTGCAGCATAAACATAAGGATGAACCTAATCACAGAGTGAATCTTAGTTTGTGGAAAACAAAAAAGAAAGAAAGAAAAGTAAAGAAAAAAAGAAGAAAGAAAGAAAAAAAGAAAGAAAAGAAAGAAAGAGAAAGAGTTCCAATGCATCTTAACCAGAGAGTAAATATTAAATTCAGAACTGTTCCTTATGCAGTTCTATATGATGAGATTTTCCTGGTATTACTTGTTTTAATGCTTTCTTCTTGGTTTCCTGAGAAATTTAAACAGCTTACAGTGTGTTTTTTTTCCTAAAACTAGTCCCCAGCATTGTCTTTCCCTGTTTCCAGTCCCTGAAGTCGCTCACAGTTGCAGGCTAGCTGTCCTCTGAGCTGACCTCTTGACTGCAGGCCCTTTGCTCACCTTGTTCCCTACACTTGCATCGGTTCTCTACACTCTGAGCAGCTTGACTGTACTCAAGTGAGATCCTATTATTTCTAACCCGTTGACTGTGGCTGTGCACAAACTTCTTCACATCATCTTCATCGATCACCATCCCCACTACATTGCTACCCTGTCCCTTACCCAGTACTGTACTTATTCAGGCACTTCTTCCAGGAACTCTCCAGAGCTGTGCTTCTGACTTTCTGCATTTGGATAACCCTACTCATTTGCAAAACCTTTATTTACATGCTGCTTTCTCCAAGTTACCTTCTTAGACTCAGAAATCCCAGCTTCCCTTCACCCTTCTCTCCATATAGCACCAGCTACACTATATTACCATTACCTTCTTGCTTTTCTACAGTTCTCTGTAGTCTGCCAGCACCTTGAGGGAAAGGCCTTTTGTCTGTTCTATTCACTATTATATTCTCAGGTGCTAGCTAGCAGGCTGCCTGGCTCAGTGTAGACATTAAATCCATGCTTACTGAGTGAATGAATAAAAAGTCTAACCCCAGATAGACAGACCATGTTTTTTGGGTAAAGCTTCTATGTTTGAACACCTTATACAAAGTCTGTTTCACTTTCTGTACATTACGACACTGTGTGGAATTTAAAAATGAACACAGTTTTTAATTAGAGCAAATGAATGTCCTTGTTTCATAATTTGCTGATCCTATCAATTTAGGTGATTTATCCAATCTTCCTAAGTCTTGTCCTGCAGATCAGTACAGAAAAGAAACAGATCCAACTTGTGGGATTCTGCCCCTGTAAATATTAAAGTAATGTACCAAAGTTGGCTCTCAGAGATGTGGGTGCCTTCCTCTCCAAATGCAGCTCTGCTTTCATTCAGCAGATCTCCTCCTGCCAGTCAGTGCACTCAGGATATTTCTGCTCATTTGTGTGATCACATGCATACATAATTCTTAAGCCTCAACCAAAGCAGGGAAGATAATTTATATTTATTGAAAACAATATTTGCAAAAGTAAAACTTTGAAAAGAATATATAGAGATCAATAATTTATAAACACTTAAGTTTTGTTCATCAAATATAATATCCTGCATAGGATAAGTAAACTTTAACTTGGAATCAGGTTCGGGGTGTGTCTAATGGTAGAGCCCATGCCCAGCATGTACAAAGCCGTAGATTCTATCCTCACCGTTGCCAATGTTTTAAAGCATTCCTCTAAATAATGAACATCTCTATTCATTTTACTTAATTGTATGATGAGCTAAAAGATATGTAGAAAAATATCTTGGGGCTCTTTCATTGTTATTATTTTTCTAGTTAGGGCATGTACCCCAAAGGAGAACATCCCCAAGTATACTGAGACAGTCTAATTTCCACAAAATTTACAACCCAAAGACTAGTTTTTGCATGTTTTTCTTGCCAGCTGAATTGTGGCTAATCACGGCCAAGTGTTTTGAGGCTGTTGGTTTAGCTCTTAAATGAAACTGGATCCTGACAAGAAAGTTCAAGAATTATTGTCGGCTTCTGTGCATAACTTAGAGGCATCTCCAAAGGCATATGTACTATTGCCCTGGCAGACATATATACACAAGTACAGTGTAACACCTCCATCCCTCATGCTTGGCAAGTTAATGTGGATGTTCATTTTTATAGCCGCTAACTTATTAGCTGTGGATTACATTGTCACTTTGTGTGTTACATTTCCAAGCATAAGAAGTGTGAGTGAGTTCTAAGACATGTGAAATGAAGGATCGGCTTGAAAAAAACTGGTCTTGAAGGCATCAGAGAGTAGGGATAAAGACTTCATCATGCAGTTCATGAGCCTGCCAATTCCTTGATTGACAGCTCTCTGTATGGCAAGTCTTGAGGGATTGGGTATTTAAATCTTAATTACAAAAAAGTGTTACAGAATACTAAGATCCATTCAAGGAAACTGAAAGGCTTATCATGTAGCACTCCTCTATTAATCTCTTGTACAGAATAAACTTGATTGACAAGATCCATATAAATAGTGTAAAGGAATTTAGGAAATAAGTACAAAACTGAGGGGAAAATTTAAAAACTATGAGCCATAAATGTATCCTATTTTGTATGTTGAATTGCCCCAAAATTGTGTACACACACACAAAAAAAAAAAAAAAAAAAAAAAAAAAAAGCAAATTGTTATATTTTCTTAACTGGTCTAAATAACAAAGACCTCATTAATACAATTCAAGCAAATAAAATAACAATACAAATAGCTGCTTTTCTTAGGAAATCACAATAATTTAATAGAGAAAAAAACTGATTCCAAGAATAGAAATCAAACAACTACAGAGAATTATTTTTCAAATAATCCTTTTTCTGCTCTTACACATCCTTACAGTCACTTTCCATCTTTCTCTTTTGCCCTTTTCTCAGAGAAAGTTCATCTAACTGAGTTGTATCATTTTGTTTTGTATTAGTCAAGATTCTTCAGATAAACAGAACAAATGATCTATCTATCATCCATCAATCTTCTAGCTAAAAGTATAAATTGTAAATGATTAGCTCATACAATTATAAAGACTCAGAGGACTCATGATCTGGTACCTGCATACTCAAGGCCCAAGAAATCCCACTGGTAAAGTTCGAGTACAAACCCAAAGGCCTGAGTGTCATGAAATGCAGTAGTATACATCCTAGTCCCTGTTTTGGAGGCCGGAAACCAGGACTTCTAATTTCAAAGACCAAAAGGTAGATGCCCCAGTTCAAGCACTGAGTACGTCCTCTCTTCTCTGCCCTTCTGTTCTATTCAAGCTCTCAACACGTTACACAATGACCACCTGCACTGGTGAGGGTAACACTGTTCACTCTATTGGTTCAAATGTTAATCTCTTCCAGAAACACTCTCACAGACACAGCCAGAGATGATGTTTTGCCAGCTATGTGAACATCTCTTATCCCTGTCAAGATGGTAAAATTAACCACCATGGATTCTCCTTTTGAATCTTGATTGGATTCAGCTAGTGAGGATGCTGGTAGCAGATCATAGGAAGGTAAAGGCTAAGGTAAAACTCCCCAGTGCCCCAGCTCTATCCACAACCTACACCAGTTCACCAAAAGTGTAGCTAGTTTCCAGTAATATCCCCAAATTAGTCATTTGGATGTAAGACCTCAAATACATTGTGTGGACATAGAATTCTATAGGAATTCCAGAAAGACTTCCCAGAGGAAGTAGCAGCAGAGCTTGGAATTTATGTAGGAGTAAGAATTCTGAGGTCATGGAGACAAAGTTCAAAGATACTTGTGCACAGCATATGTGGGTGAAAGGGAGGAAAAATATCAAGATGATCTTTGGGATAGATTGTCAA